AGAGGTTACTAAATATTACAGAATTGAAAGTAAATTTGAAGCAGTCTTATTCCCAAGCTGTAAAACAGGACTTCAGAGTTTGATACTTCCACCTTTTTTTTATTTCATGTGTATGGGTGTTTTGTCTGTTTTATGTCTGTGAACCATGCGTGTGCCTGTGGAGGCCAGAACTATTGGATCCCCCGGAACTGCATCTACAGACAGTTGTGAGTGCTGGACCTTGAGCTGGGTCCTCTAGAAGAGTAACTAGTGCTCTTAACCAGTGAGACATCTCTCCAGCGCCAATATTTATTTTTATGTTGAGTAAAACGTGAAGAAATTTCATTTAATTGAGCCTATATAACACACCACTTTCAAAATTAAGACCTATTCACAGCCCCATTTTTCTTGTCCTTTTTGGATATAATCAGATCTAGTTTGCATTTGAATCTCTTTGTTAATGATACAGATTCTACATGTATTAATACATCATACCATTTTTTTTAATAAAAGAGAAAGCATAGTAAGACAACTAGATTATACATGCCTACATACCCATGTTCTTATTAGCAAGGCCAAAATACTTAGTTCCAACTCCAGCTTACAAGAAATGCAAAGAATAAAAAATACTTTAAATGACATTGTAAAGAAAGAGTCAAACAGAATGAAAGGCAACAATAGGAAAAGAGACAAAACAATGTTGTAGATTAAAATAGCTGAATCTAAACTTTCTGGGTATACTGGGCTTAACACAAGCTCAGAGTACATATATTATGAAAATATTTGTTTTATTTTTGTAATTATTTCAGAGGTCATAGAATCCTATAGGATGTTTTTGTTGTTGTTTCTTTTACTAAGAACTTTCTTGTACATTAAAAGGGTAGTCTTCAAAGTGTGCTGAACATTGTCTAGTGGGATGTGGCTTTAAATATAGGTAAGGGGTTTTGGTGGGTAATTTGTCGAATAAGGTCTGTACACCGACTTTATGGTACTGGTAAGTTTTTTTCTTCCTGGAGTTTTTTCTGTTGAAGATTATCAAAGGTGATAGAAACTGTCACTTAGGTCTGGTGGTAGAGTGCTTGTCTAATAAATACAGGGCCAAGCTTGATCCTCAGTACTGAAAAATCAAAAACAAAACCTGTTACATACTCTTGTAGACAACAATGGAAATGAAATACTGCTCTATTTTATATATTTCATTTTTATTTTATCTAAGGATTCAGTTGTTAGCATTAGCTCTTTAAACATTTAAATCATAATGAAATTTATTTATGATTTAGCATCATGATAAACAGGCTAGATCTGTCCTGTCTGGTACAGTAGTTACTAATGTGGCCCATTGTGTGTACTTGAGAAATGGCTAGTTCTGATTTAGATATGCTGTGCAGATATCTATCTATATAATAGACCTAACAGGTAAAATGTAATATCTCAGTAAGTGTTACACTGATTTTGTTTACTTATGTTGTATTAAATAAACTATACTATGGAAATGTATTTTACCCTCCTTTCATTTGTGGTGTGTTGTGTTGTGGTGTGTGTGTGTGTGTGTGTGTATTTGTACATGTGTTTAAGACAGAGTCTCAGGTAGCCCAGGCTTCCAGGTGATTCTCCTGTAGCTTCCCACCTCTCTTTAGGAGTACTGGGATTATGGGTGCATCCTTCCACCCATAATGTCTTCTGTCTTTTTATTAGTGTTCTGAGGTTGAAATCGGGTATAAGACTTACGCAGTTAGCACTTCTATATAACAGTCATCTGCGTGCTTACTGCGTTTTATACTCTGTAGGATTATGATGGGTCCTCCCACATGAATAACATAATCAAGATACCATATAAATCTCCCAAGTAATTTTAAATTCTGTCAAGTTAGCAATTAACAGACCATCACATATGACAGTATTTTTGTCATGCCACATTTCAACTTGATGTCCTTGCACACTATCTTTTTTCTTTTCTCTGACCATCTCTGACTAGTGATTTTCCAAGTCCCAGTTTCTGACAGTCTCTTCTCCATGGAAGTCTGTGCTGGATTATTAATTTATATCTTTGCTCCTATTCCCAGGGCAAGTATCAGCTTTGTACTTCTTTCTTTTGGAGTTCCTGTGGTAATTACCAACAGTTCTTGTTGGTAATATTACCAACAGTTCTTGTTGGTAATATCATGATTTATACCAAGTTCAGCAGATCTAATGCCTCATTGTCTTCTTCCCTCCTAAATAAACTGTTATCCTAATCTTAACTGTTTGCATCAATGGCTTCACTTTGGGAAGGTTTTTGTCTTGTTATTGTTTTAGACTTTATTTTCAAATGTATTGCACAGTGCTGCAAGTATTTCTAACAGTGTTTCTAACATTACAGAAGAATTTATTTCCCTTTATAAAATTTACAGGGTAGCACCACTTCTGTCAGTTGATCTTCCTTGGAGCTGAGTTAATTTCTCTATGAACTACTTACATTTTTTTTGTATGACAGTGTAGTTCTCTGTCCTCGTAATTTTTAAATTGAAACTTAAAGTTTAAAATTCTTCTGAGTTGAATAGGAAAGAAAGTTATAGATGCTGCCAGGAAGCGCAAACATAGGGACTATGTGCAGTGGTACACAATGGTAAAACAGTGTTATCAGCTGTGTGGAAGTGGAAAGCTTCTAATGGAATGAATAAGCCCTCTTGAGCTTTTCTGTTATAACTGAAAACTTGCAGTTAACTCTGACACTTAGGTTCACTGTGATCTCAGCACTTGGCACTTTGCACTTACAATAATTACTACAAACTACAAAAGAGTAATTTTCTAACAAATAAAAGCCACAGCTTTCTAAAATGAGTTTGGGCTTCTATATGAGGTCATGTAACTAAATGTGAGGGTCCTCCAAAGTTGGAGAACAGTGAAAGGTTTCTGAATGTGCAGCAACCAAAAATTAATTCAAAAACAAACATGTAGTGAATCTAAGGTGTTCTGGCTCACTTGCTGTTGTTGTATCACACACCTCAATAGCAGCCTTGGTTCTGAGTCCACGTGCAGTTTGCACTGTGCGTGCTGTTGCAACACACAGTACTGATGAACATGCCTGAAGCATGTAGGTGCTGGTTATGCATCACAGTGTTCTTACAGCATATGCAGTGTCCTGTCCTTACAGTTATGTATGGCTTTCTTAGGCAAAATGAAGACTTAATATTTTTCTCTTATTCTTCAGCATGTAATGCTGGAATTAGTACATGCCTAGGTTTTATTGTGTTGGGATGTTGGATATCAAAAATTGCAGTTTAACTTTTGTTTCATTTAAAATAAAATGCTGAGCCAAGGGGAAGGTAAAAAGCACTTTCTTTGAGCCTCACAACTTGAGTTTAGATCCCTTGAACCAAGGTAAAGTGTTGGTGTGTGTGTGTAAGGTGTGAGGCTGGGACAGGAGAATTCCCCAGAAGCTCCAGGGAAGATAGCCTGGAGTATGCAATGCAGCAGCAAGCCGGAGGTACTGTACCTCATGGTGGAAGATGAGGACCAACACCCAACGTACCTCCACACACATGTTGCAGTACTAGCACACAGAAATTTCACAAATACAAATAAACAAATGAATAAGTAAATAAATACATACTTTGGAGAGATGGCTTAGTGGTTAAGAGTGCTTGCTGTTCTTTCAAATGACCCAGCTGCCATTTTCATGTCAGATAGCTCACAACCATAGCTCACTCCATCTCTAGGGAATCCAGTTTTTCTGGCTTCATCAGATACCTGCACATGCATTACATGTACACATGTAGACACATGCATAGATAACAATAAATCTTAAAAATGATAGTAATTAATTATTACTCACTAATTTTTTATTGTTAAATGAAGTTTGGCTTGGGACTAGGAAAGACTTTCCAACAACTTCTGAAATGACCCTAAGCATTTTTCTGCATACAGAACTTTAGTCTCTGCATTGGCAGTTAACAAATAAAAATATTGATCAACCCTGAAAAATGCTGAATGTGTTCTACCTTAGGCGTGGCCAACCTTGTGACATGTTGTCATCTATGAAGTTCACAAATGAGAATATGTAATCAAATTCTTAAACAAAACAAAACTGTGCTTTAAGAGTGTTACCATTTTGTGTTGGGCTGCATTCATAGAGCTCCTCAACCACATGTGGCTCATGGGCTACAGGTTAGAAATAACCTCTTGTGTTACATCCTCAGCCAAGAAGTATGTAAAAATAAATAAGCATACCTCGTTATGCAAATTAGAATTGGTAAATCTTATAACTATTGTTTTAAAATAAATTCATGATTTGTTACCAGGAAGTGTTCTTGTATTTATTTTATATACCTGCGTGTCTGGGGATATGTAAAAATCTAGTGAAAAGGGTTGGGGGGGGGGCTAGGAAAGTAGAGGGCAGACATAAGCTCAATTTAAATAAATGCTTGTGTGTAAAGGCCTTTATGTAACAATGCTATGCAAGGTGAATATATATATTATATATATATATAGAAAATAAACAACAACAAAAGATAGATGAGATAGCTCCGACAATAGATTTCCAACGTTTGAGGAATTGCCGAAGCATTCTTGAGGACCAGGATTCAGTCCATAGCTACATGTAAACGGAGCATGGAAGCACATGTCTAATTTAACACCTAGGCAGCGGACACAGAAGGGTCATCCTCAGCTGCATAGCAAGTTGAAGGCAGCTCACACTAGAAACCATTTGAATTAATGAATGTTGCAAGTGGGAAAAGTTTAAGAAGTCCAATGTAGGCCAAAAGTTTCTGGGTTGAAGATAGAACCCCACTAATATTACTCGTGCTAGTACACCACTATAACACACACTGTCTGAAGAAGGTGATCACCCCACACTTTTGTAAAGGCTCTGTTAGAGTAAGCCATGGAAAATGGAAGCATCCTGTGTTACTAGAAGACACTTCTTATAGTACAGTTCTCCTGCCACTTAGGTTTTTCACACTCAGTTTCTTGTCGGTTTAAGTCTTTTTTTATTAATAAAGAAAATTAAGTATCTTTAATGTTTTCTATTGCTTTATAAGGCACAGTTGGTAGATCTGCGATCCGAACTGACAGAGACTCAAGCAGAAAAACTTGTCCTGGAGAAAGAAGTCCATGACCAGCTTTTACAGCTGCACTCCACCCAGCTTCAGCTTCATGCCAAAACTGGTCAAAGTGTTGACTCTGGTACCATTAAGGCAAAATTGGTAAGTAAAACAGGACATTCACTTGTGTTTTGGAGGGTGTAGAGGTGATTTTTAATGGAGTTACAATTATAAAAGGTTGTGTTCATTGTGAGAATTCAGGCAATAGAAAGTTTATAGTCATCATATTCAGCAGTAGCAAGTGTGTTAGTATCAATAGCCACCTGTTAGAATTGAAAATGACCTACTTAAAAACATTTGAATAAATATATGTAAAGGGTATTTATGATATAACATAAACAAGTTTTTGTTCTGCTGTCTGTCAGGGTTAAATCCAGCTGCTGTATCAGAAGTCTGGAGTAGTATTGAGATTGTTCTAAATAGTTTTATTGTTTTGTTTTTTTCTGCAGCTAATCCTGAGGCAGGCATCCAGAACTGATGCAGCCGCTCTGTATATACTAGGGGTTAAAGTTATGTTTTGTTGTGTTCTGCCATTTTTAGCAGATGAGTTCCAGCTTTGGGATTTCCTCATGACTGTGTCTAGACAGGAACAAGTTAAAATCTAAAAGTTCTTCTTAACTATGTTAACCTTCATAAAGAATCTTCATTAGGGGCTGGAGAGATGGCTCAGTGGTTAAGAACACTGTCTGCTCTTCCAAAGGACCAGAGTTCAATTCTCAGCATCCACATGGCAGCTCACAATTGTCTGTACCCCCAGTTCCAAGGGATCTGACACCTTCACACTAATGCACATAAAATAAAATTTAACAAAAAGAATGTATCCTTAGTAATTTTTGTCAGCACCTCATTCACTTAGCCCTAGCTGTGTGTTAGTCCATGCATCTTGGTAAAATCAGAGTGCTGCTAATACAAAGAAAGGGACAGTACAGATAAGTGCCACCAAGTTTCTTAGCTCTCAGTAGAATGTAAGTATTTCTTCTACTTATATTGTATCATATGTATGAACATTGTATCATTTCTATATATTGTTTGGCTGTGAGTTCCCTCTAATTAGCCACAACTATCTTAGTCAAAACAGGCTATTTAAGTAGAAAACAAAATTTTAAGGCTTGTTTCAAGCCAAGTGTGTATTCTGTGTGCCAGATATTTGGCTAAATTTGTGAAGTCAGCAGTAGGAAAGATAAATCTTGGGCCATGACCCAATGCTGTTGTGTGTTGAGTATAAAACATGTTTAAGTTTTCCTTAGTTGCTATTAGCTTTGTTTGAATGTTTTTATGTGCTGATAACTTTGGAATCTGCATCAGCATTTATGTTCTCCTGAAGTTCTCATAAACTGGAGGGCTATGGCTCTATGTTAACAGTGTTTGGTTTGGTTTTGTTTTTTTTGTTTTGTTTATTTTTAACTGACTTAAAAGTCAGATCAGAGGTTCTTATTTGAGCTATGGAATAGTAACATTGAGACACATTTTATATTTTGATTATAAAAGCATTCTTCATCTTTTAATAGGTGCTAGAGAGAAAGAAATAATTGGGTCAGTTGTATTGACTAATTTTAATTTTTAAAAAATTTAGACTGATATTATAACTTTTGTTTGTAGATTTCATGATATATCTGTGCTAATGAGCTTACCCAACTGATATTTGAGATGTGGAAATTTTGTCTGTAATGATAATACCACTAGATAAATTTCTTTGTTTGATGGTTTTCTAATTATAAAACTTTTTTCTTGTATCTGAAGTCTTTCCCCTCTGTGGAGGATCTGGTAAGTCTGTTGTTTCTCTTGCTTTCATGTGTCCTGTTGAACTGTTCTGGTGTTTTATGTATTACCCGTTGTCACACTGTATTTGGAAACAATGTTAATGCTGTTTTTCAGTGTTCAGACACCAGAAAAGAGGGTGCCCATTGTGCTTTTCTCACTGCATGTAGCTGAAGATTTAATCTTTCATTTTTGACTTACAGACATTGTTTGCAGAGCCCATCAATTTTTGACAAATTTTGGGCCTTGTAACTTGCTCACGCTTCCACTTTTGCAAAAATACCCACATGAGAGTATTGAAGACATATTTAAAAGGCCTGGGTTTTACCCCCTGGAGTTTCTATTTGAAATTGTTCTCAGTAAGAGAATGTGCATGCTGATTCCTTCATCCATTGCATGTGTTAGGATTGTGTAGTCATTAAAGTACTGGGCTTTAAGTGTTTTTTGTTTTTGTTTTTTTAGATTTATTTATTTATATAGTGTTATGCCTGCTTGTATCCCTGCAGGCCAGAAGAGGGCACCAGATCTCATTATAGATAATTTTGAGCAACCATGTGGTTGCTGGGAATTGAACTCAGGATCTTTGGAAGAATAGCCAGTACTAGCTCTTAACCTCTGAGCCATCTCTCCAGCCCTGCTTTTTATTAGAAGTTATTTTAAACAAAAACAGTATGTAAATTCACATTGTCTTTCGTAGTGTCAGGCTAATAAGATTCCAGTTGACTTAGGGCTTTACTGCTTCTAAAAATACATTTTTTACAAGTCTAAAATTTGAAACAAACTTCTTGCTTATTATCTAATACAAAAAGGTTAACAGAAAACAAACTTACAGATTATCTTTAAATCTTAAAGTAATTCTTTTCAGTTGCCTTGATCATATTCTTGTTTACATATATATATATTTTTTAATGGCACTGTCCTAGAACTCATAGAGATCTGCCTGCCTTTGTCCCCAGGTGCTAGGATTAAAGGTGTGTGCATCATTGTGGCTGGCTTGCCTCATGTCTTAGTTGCAAGTTTCAGGCACTGTCAAATTCCTTAAGAGTTTGAATTGTTAAAGTGGTAGCCTCATAAGCATCTGAGATTTCATAAGCACTGTATAGCTAGCTCATTAAAGCAGCTGAAAGGAGGTAAACTTTGTAGTAATGTTTCTATAATCTATGCACCAAAGAAATCTTGGTCTTGAGGCTGGGAATGAAGCTTGATTAGTATAGTGTTGCTAGTGTAGATAGAGCCCAGGGTAAATTCCCAGCACCACATAAAACCAGGCCTGGTGGTACATGAAACCTGGGCTACATAATGAAACTATTTCAGAAAAGAAAGAAAGAGGAGAAGTTCCCAAGTAAGGGGAACAGGGACTGACTGTCTCTGACACGAACTCAGTGGCTGGCTCTTTGATCTCCCTACCCCTGAGGAAGGAGCAGCCTTGCTAGACCACAGAGGAGGACATTGCAGCCAGGCCTGAAGATACCTGATAAGCTAGGATCAGATGGAAGGGGAGGAGGATCTCCCCTAGCAATGGACTTAGAGAGGGGCAGGGAGTAGATGAGTGAGGGAAGATGGGATTGGGAGAGAATGAGAGAGGGGCCCACAGCTGGGATACAAAATAAATAAACTGTAATTAATATAAAAAAAATAAAAATTTAATAAAAAAAAGAAAGAGGAGGAGAGAGGAGGAAAGGAGATTATAATTCCAAAGTTTTTTTAAAAGAGACTCTAGATTATTAGTTTTCCATATCTCTTACTAATAATTTCTAGAAATTGTGAGTGTGCATGTATTTGTGGTTTATAAAAGCTGGGGGGGGGGGCTGCTTATCTTCCTACAGCTCATCAGTTATATAATAAATATTCTTATAAGTGAGACAGGATTCCCCAGTTCTGGGCAGTTAATGCCAGTTCCCCATGCCAGGCAAGCTCTCTACCATTAAACTACACTCCCAGCCTTATTATGTTACAGGTATTTCCACTCAGAGAAAGTGCTGCATATCCAGTATTGAGAGTTTTCATTGGTTTACCTCCTACATGTGTTTTTACACATATGCACTTAAAATGCATGTATATTAAGATTATGTAATGCCTTGTATTTGAACATACCATCTTTATTGGTGGTCAAAATAGAACAAAGCATCAATTAAATTAGTAACAAAATATATTTCACAAATTGTCAAAAGTTTGCTTATATTTGTTTTGTGTTCTCTTCCCAACCCCCTTCTTTCTCAAGACAACCCTTACTATGTATCACTGCTGTCCTGAAACTTGCTGTTTAGACCAAGCTGGCCTCAGACTTAAGTGATTTCTCATGCCTCTGCCTTCAGAGTGCTGGGATTACAGGAGTGAACCATCCATGCCCAACTGTTTTTTGTTTGCTTGCTTAGGACAAGGTCTCTGGTAAGCTGGGCTAGCCTCAAACTTCTATATAGCTGAGGCTGCCTTTGGACTCCTGATTGTCCTGCCTCAGCCTCCCAGTGGCTGGGTACATAGCTAGTGTCTATCTTCTTCATCTCTAGAATAAAAGGAGAAATGACTAATTAGTCAGCGCCTATACATAGAATAATACCATTTGCCATTTCCTCAACAGAAACAGTTTTTCCTTGTGCTAAGGAAAGTATTCATATGGGGACATGATGGTGGAGTGATTAGTGTCCTCTATATCTTATGAACAAATATAACCATTGTTTTCTTAGGCTCTGTGGGTTCCTGTAAGTCAGTAAGTCAACTAGAGTAGCCTAATCAGGATAAATGCTAGTGTGAAATGTTTGGGTGGTTTTGATTCAGAACTGATACCTATGGGGCCTCTATTCAACTCTCAGAAGAAGTGAGCCTGCCCACACTTAGTGTGCATATGATCTGGAATTTGCCTTTATTTGGGCAAAACTTTGTACCTTCCATTTTGCCCTCTGCTCTGACTTGAAGCTGCCCATTTTATATGTGGATCCCTAAACCCATGGTCTGTGAGCATAAGCACACTGTATAAACTCAGGAAAAACTGAACATTAATTCTTGCATATGAACTTTCAGCAAAAATGTAATGGTGACAATCTTGGGATTGTGTTCTCCAATACCTGTAGATTCACATAGAATGCTCGGGTTTGGGAGCTGAAAATATTCAGATGACTATTCTACTTCACAGGCAGTAAAGGGAGGTTTTTCTTCCTAGAAAAATCAAAATGTGCTCTAACATAGTAACTACAGGCTCTCCACTCATGGCTGTACTGTGTTTTCTTACAGCTTAGAATGGGACAGTGAGATGGTCTAGTGGGGTAAGCTGTAGCGCTCTGTATAACCAAGGTGACTGGGTACTTAGGGTCCTCCTACTTCAGCCTTCTGAGTGCAGTCTTAGCAGTTATGAGCTGCCATGTGTGGCTTGTCATTCAATATGAGTCTGCTTTCTTCAAGTCATTTTTAGAAAGTAAGCAGTCTCAGTGTGCTGTTTAAAGAAGATTGCTCTTGCTTCTCTTAATGTCAGGAAACATCAAGGCATGCAGTTGTACAAAGGAAGGTCCAAGACATTTTTTCCTAATTTTAAAAGAAGGAAATCCAGCCAGGCATTGTTTTATATATCTGTAATCCCAGCATGTGAGAGATGGATGCAGGATTGCAGATTCAGGGCTAGCCTGAGTTACATAGTACTTTCCAGGCCAGGCTGAGATATCTGCCAAGAGTTTATCTCAAAAACAAAGAATTATCATCTTAAGACATGGCTCCGCCATTACGAGCACTTGCTCTCGACGACCCCATCACCCTGCTCACTATCAACTGTAACTGCAGTTCCAAGGGATCTGATCCCTTCTCTTGCTTCCATGCCCACACACATTTGGTACACACTCATATACAGGCACGCACACACAAACACAAACACACACAGGCACACACACTAAATATAAAAACAAAACAAAGAACTAGATTGAGGCTTCGTACTCCAATTCAGTTTCCCATGTTTTCACTGTTTGTATTATATGCTGAGCTTGTGTGTGTTCTTAAGGAGCATAGTCTCCTGGCTGTAGACTCATAAAGACATTTTCATAAAATTATGTTCTTAAAATTACAATAGGAAAGAGAGCTTGAAGCAAATAAAACAGAAAAGGTAAAAGAAGCTCGACTTGAAGCTGAAGTGAAGCTGCTGAGGAAGGAGAATGAGGCCCTTCGCAGGCACATAGCTGTTCTCCAGGCTGAAGTTTATGGGGCGAGGTTGGCTGCCAAGTACTTGGATAAGGAGCTGGCGGGCAGGTGTGTAAAAATGGCTCCGCTTGTGTTCTTAGGTGGCAAGCAATTGACTTATCTAAGTGAAACGTTTTCATCCTCAGTTATTTTTATACAGAATAATAGGTTAACAGTTTTGAATTAGGGGCTGGAGAGATGGCTCAGTGGTTAAGAGCACTGTCTGCTCTTCCAAAGGACCTGGGTTCAATTCCCAGTACCCACATGGCAGCTCTCAACTGTCTGTACCGCCAGTTCCAAGGGATCATCACCTTCACACTAATGCACATAAAAAAAATTAAATTATTTTTAAAAATAGTGTTGAATTAATATCAGCAGCATTGCTTATTACAGATTTATCTGTCCACACTAAGTAAGTGTAGTTGACTCACACAGATGAATAACTTACAGTGAACTGGCTGAGGCCTGCTCAGCAGTGAAGAACCCCACAGTCCTTCACAACAGATCTTTCTGGCCCCTCGGTTACATCTTAGAACAAAAGTAATTTTATTGTAAAAGTTAGTCCTGCTGGCTTTAATTGTGTTAGGTGAGTTAGTCACAAACTTTGGTGACATACTTGTATCAAGTCATTTTATATACACTTTAATATTTTATTAAGAACTGAGATGAAGCAAACATTTTAAAATTATTTTTTAGATTTTTAAGTTTTATATGTGTGTTTTGCCTGCATGTTGTACATACACCGTGTGTATGCCTTATTCAGATGTCAGAAGAGGGGATCTGATCCCCTAAAACAAGAGTTACAATCCTTGTGAGTCACCTTGTGGGTGCTGGGAACGGAACCTGGGTCTTCCTCAAAAGCTTCAAGAGCCATCTCTCTATCTCTGAAGCTAATAATTTTTATCATTTTGAAGTACAAATTTTTTAATGATTTTTCACTTAAATAATCACTTTGTAAAAATAATTGATCATTAAAAGAAATGTTTTAGTATGGTCAGTGTCATCTAACTGCTTCTATTTAATAGTGCACTGAATTCAATTATGCAAGAAATAAAACATGTTGCCATTAATCTCAAAACTCAATTGTTTTTTTAGATAAACTTATTTTAAAAATATATTTATATTTAAATTATATTTAAACAATAAACTTATATTTAAATTAAGTATATAATTAAAGGAATTCTCATTTATTTCTTTAAAAAAAAATTTTTTTAGCTGATTTTTCCCTTAAAGATCTCTGTCCCTTTCAGCTTTTCTATACAAATCTGAGAGACACTGGGAAGGACCTAGGTATTAGTTTTATTGACTGAAATGTATGCAGCGGCTACTTAAATTAGTAATTCTTCTGAATTATCTTAAACATAATAAGTTTAATATAAACTACTCTCTTTTCCTTATGCAAAGGGTCCAACAGATACAATTACTGGGACGAGATATGAAGGGACCTGCTCATGATAAGCTCTGGAACCAGTTAGAAGCTGAAATACATTTGCATCGCCACAAAACTGTCATCAGAGCCTGCAGAGGACGCAATGACTTGAAGCGACCCATGCAAGCACCCCCAGGCCATGTATGTTCCTGCTTGCCACTCAGCCTCTTCTTGGTTTGACATAAATCTACTCTTTTCTTTCTTTCCTTTTACTAGTATTTGAAACCTTTACTTAAAGAATGAAAAGGGGGGTTGGCTTATCTAAAGTAATTACAGGTTCAGTAATTAAAAGGTTCAGTTATTCAAAAGAATTTTGTTCATTTCTCAGACTTTTATGTATTAAGAGTGATGTTTCTTCAGACAGTTAGCCCTGTCTTAGCAAACATATTGCTTGCACTTCGGATCATACTTCAGTTTTTTTTCCTGTATAATGATTGGGCATGTTTAATTGTTAAAAACTTACCTGTGTTAAGGTGTATTTGGGAAAAGTTTTCAAGGAAATTTTTGGCACGTACATCCAAATATAGAACCTGAAGTAACATTTACAGGTATTTGGTCTTAAATTAGAATGTAATTTGAGGTCTGTATGCAGTTTTCTGTTCCATAGCCACCATTGTACAAGAGCTTTGGTAAATCCTTATTAAGTTGTACTTGACAACACTGACCTTAACTGTAACAGTTTAGTATGTAAAGCAGAGTTTTCCCCAGTGGTTCACATATTTTAATGCCAGTTGAACATGACCTTTATGTTAGTTACTGTTCTGTTGCTGTGCTAAAGCACTATGTCCAAAGTATCTTATTAAAAGGAAGCATTTAATTGGGGCTTGCTTACAGTTTCAGAGAGTTTGTCCATGAATACCATGATGGGAAGCATGATGGCAGGTAGGCAGGCAGGCAAGCATAGCACTCGAGAAGTAGCTAAGAGCTTACATCCTGATCTGTAGACAGCAAGGAGAGAGAGAGAGAGAGAGAGAGAGAGACAAGGCACACCTCTTAATCCTTTCTTTATAGTCTACCAATTGGAAACCAAGCATTCAAATATGTGTGCCAGTCTCATTCAAACGACCGCAGCTTTAAAGAGCAAAATAATCTGTGGCCTCCACAAAAGTTTTTATAAAGAGAATTAATAGCACATAATGAAGATCAGGGTCACAGTGTATAGGTACGCCATTTTCTTCTAGGGCCCAATGCTCTTAGTTCACTCCGAGGTCCAGTACGTCTAAGAAACAGGCTATATGAAGGGACACAGTGGTTGGTGTGGCAGTATATCAGCATGATAAAGCATACTCAAAAAGCTTTGTGAGGGGGGATACAAAATGAATAAAGTGTAATTAATAAAAAATAAAAAAAAAAAGCTTTGTGACATCAGCCTACTAGTTAGCTAGAATCCAGAAGACCAGAGTTATTTTACATTAAATATAGCCATCTTAAGTTACTTACTCTGATAGTTATGAACCTTTTAAGTAAAATAGTGCATGGGTTCTAGGTTCTCCATGCATGGTCCTTGGTGAGAGCATCAGTCTCAGAAAATAGTGAACATACTAGTGTGGTAATGTGTCCAGCTACCTCAGTCAGAAAGACAGCAGTGATCCAAGGAGGAAATGAGAAAAGCCTGGGAAGTAACACTGGAAAGGAAGGGTAGCCTTAAGAAAATTAGATTGAGGTGCTTGACTGAGCTAGTTCTTCTCAACTACTAGCTAAGGAAGTGAGTGAAGAGGAAGAGTCTGAGATTTGCTTTGGTTTTTACTGATTAAAGAAGTACAAGAAAATGAAGGTCAATGGGGGAGGAGGTGACATCAGGTCTAGACAAGCAGTGTTTGAGATGCTGGTGTGACATCTTAAGAAATCCATCCAGTTTAGTACATGAATGGAACTCAGGAAAGAAGTCTTGAGTTGGAGAAATACTAGGGAAGCTAAATTCATTTGGTATAATTGAAATCATGGAAGTCAGTAGCCAAGGGACGCATGTGTGAACTAAACTCAAATAGGAGGCCAGGAGGGAAACTTGGTATGGAAGAAGAGAGGGTACAAAGACATTTGGGACAGTCATATTTAAATCAACTGGGAAAGTAGTGTAAGAGAAGCAGGAACAGAGTGGGTTTCAGAGTGGGTACCCCTGCCAACTTTCTGCAGGGTTCTCATAAGATAGTGATTAAAAATTGTCCATTGGATTCTGCAGAATTCTTACAAGTGACCATAAAGAAAATTTCAGGCTAGGGACAAAGTCTTAATCACAGTGATCAACGTAATGTTAGATGCAAGGAAGTAGGTATGTGTCAAGGGTAAAAGATAGTGAGTAAAAAAGACAGGGAAGGATTGACAGGATATTGGGTTGGGCTCTTTTTGTTTGCTTTAGGTTTGGGGGTTTGGTTTGTCAAAGATTGGAAGATACTTAGAACTTAGTAGAAGATACTTAGAGTTTTGTAGAGAGAAAAAGATCAAAGATAGCAGAAAGAGCTGAGTGGGTCAGTGCAAAGGGTTTGCTTAACATGCAAAATCAATCTTAGGTTTGAACTGAAAAAAAGGCAAAGGAGGTCAAAAAACAATTAATGGAATCAACTACTTTATTTAATAGGTAGGTTCTAGAACACTGGAGAATAAAAAGTAATTAATGTTCAAGCTGAAAAAATTCTTAATTCTAAAAATCACTTAACGTTTATATGAATTCATTAAGATATTTTCTAGTGAAGATACATCATTACTACTTTATTATTTGAAGATACTTATTTATTGATTGGTTCCTGGTAATTTTATAATGTCTTATAATCAATATTTTACAAAAGGTGAAAAAAGTTATAAATTTTACCATATTTATTGAAAAGCATTTTCATCTCTTTTAATTGTTACCCTATATATCTACGCCAAGAGATTAAAAATGATTCTAAAAGCAAGTTATGTAACATGAGTTCTACTTGGTTTGTTGTTTAAATAATACTTTCTCTTCTTTTTTCCCCTGCGATAAGGATCAAGACTCTTTGAAGAAAAGCCAGGGAGTTGGTCCAATTAGAAAAGTTCTCCTTCTTAAGGAAGATCATGAAGGCCTTGGCATTTCAATTACAGTAAGAAGTAGTGCTTCCAGTTTCTTTATGGCAATTGTCTGGTAGAACCAGGTTTCTTTGTTGGACATCATCTGGGGGAACAAAGTGTTCTGGATATAACTCAAAACAACTGAATTTTTCAAAACTTTTAAAAATTTTTTTTAATTTTTCAAAAATGCATATTTAGGCAGCAATACTTTTGCACATGTATAACTTTTTTGTGTATAAAAAAGCTTCCTGTAATTTAGATGTTCCTTCAGTAAGTGTAGTTTAACATTTTCAGTACAACTGGAAGCCGGTATGAATAGGATACAAAGACATACATGCAGGCAAAACCCTATAAACATAATGTAAATTTTTAAGTAGAAATAACCTATACAAGCTATATAAAGTGGCAGCTACCAGTTATTGTATTTTTAATTCAACATTACGTATTTCTGAAGTTGAGAGTTGTGTTGCAATCTTAAAATTATCTTGGTTAAAGCCAGTTGTGGAGGCACATCCGTTTAATTCCAGCTTGGGAAGCATGGCCAGGTAGATATCTGTGAGTTGAAGGCCACTTTTGTACATATTGAGTTCCAGGACAGCCAGAGTTATATAGAGAGACCCTGTCTCAAAAAGAGTTTCTTGGTTATACATAAAATAATTGGTCTTATCATACATGTTTTAATCACTGTTCTAGTTCTGTGAAGAGACACCATGACCAAGGCAACTCTTAAAAAAGAAGAAAACATTGAATTGGGGCTTGCTTACAGTTTCAGAGGTTTAATCCCATTATTATGGTGGGGAGCATGGTGGTATGCATGGCACTAAATTAGTGGAGAGCAAGAGAGATACACTGGGCCTGGCATGGGCTTTTGAAAACTCAAAGCTCACCTCTAGTAACACACTTACTCTGACAAGGTCACACCTCCAGGGCCTTCTAAGGGTCTCTGATAGTTCCATTAAGCATTTAAATATATGAGCATATAGGTGCCACTGTTATTCAAACCATCACAATACATAATAATTTAGATTTGACAAAAGTTCTATGGAAGTGTCCGCAGGATGGCACAAAGTACTGTGGAACACTAATATATAATCTGTTTTTAATGCTAAAGAAATGAGGCTATCGTAGTTGTTTGGGGTGTTTTAATTTTGGGGTCTGTAATAATTTCAGAAACATTGTATTCAGAGGTATATGCTACTTTGGTACTTTTACTTCAATGTGCCTTTGGCAGCAAGTAAAATTTCACCCATGTTTTTAGAGACTCTGCTTATTGAAACGAGTTTTAAAGAAAATGCCTTGTGTCTAAGATGATCTGCTAACTTACCTCCTTTGATATTGCCAGGGTGGGAAGGAGCATGGTGTTCCCATTCTCATCTCTGAGATCCATCCAGGACAGCCTGCGGATAGATGTGGAGGGCTGCATGTGGGGGATGCTATTCTGGCAGTGAATGGAGTTAACCTAAGGGATACAAAGCATAAAGAAGCTGTAACCATACTTTCCCAGCAGGTGAATTCTCTTTATGTGATTAAAACTGGTATAGAACTTGTTTCTCTTCTTTGAAGGTTACAGATGTCATTTGATGATATTTGCTAAAAAGTTATGTTTACTTCTTTACATAGCTACTTAGCTGTGAACAAACTACATAAATCCTCTGTGCACAGCCTTCTCATTGCATGGTGGAGATGGAGCTGTAAGGTGGATGCTCAGAATAGGATAGGTACTTAAGAACAGCATCATGAATGATAGATGCATCATAGCAGTATAGGGCATCAGAGAAAAGACGGATAGGAATAGAATTCCCCTAGCCCATTTGTCTTATTTAAAGTAATTAAGCTGGGCAGGAAAGATGGGTCAGAGGCTAACAGCACTTGCTACTCTTGGAGACAACCCAGGTTCAATTCCCAGCACCACGTAATAGTTAATAATCATCTGTAATTCCCATTCCAGAAACGATTCTATGTCCTCTTCTGTCTTCCATGGGCACAGATACTCATGCAGGCAAAACACACACATATTATAAAGTAATAATAATAATAAATATTAAAGTAATTAAACTGAAATTCTTAGAGAATAAAAGATTGCTGAGTTGCATAGCAAATCAATTTGAGTAAGAATCCATATTTAGAGTCATATTTGTTATCTCATGTACGTAAAACCACTGTTTTCCCCTGAGGTAGGGTTAAGGGAATTAGAACAGTGTTGGTGAAGCATGGAGATGTTTGGGGGTCATCAACGTAGTATACTAGTGTAGAACAATTGTAGTTGATTGTGAATGTGTAGATCATTAGCTTGGCTTTGCATGATGCAGGAAACACCTGCATGTCAATTAAAAATAGCTTCAGTAAAGGGAGGACCTATAGATAATGGCTATTTTAGAAAGGTCTTCTATGTCAAGCCTGAAATTTGTGTTAGTATGGATTTCCAGCCTTCTGATAATGTGACACAGCATTGTCACCTACAAAGCTTACTCTTTGGAATCACATAATGGAGTTAAAAAAAAATGGCAAAAACAGTCTTGCAGTGTTTTAAGTCAGCTTACATTTTGTGTTCGGTCACAGTGATAGGCATCCTGCACACATGCATGTGGGCCATGAGCTGGATGTGCTTTTGAGCTTCATTGAAAACCACTACATCACCTGTCTACCTTGACATGAGGTTTTTATTTTTAATTATTTGGGTGCTCTGCAAGAGCAGCAAGATCTTTTAACCAGCCCAGCTGATTTATTTTCAATAAGAAAATTAGGGTACAGGAATTCTGAGGATTGTTTCAATTATATGTTATGACTAAAATCATTTTGCTTCCAGCTGTCTTGTCTCTAAAACTCTGTATTGCTATGATACTTCTGTCATTTAATTATCTCATAAGAAAGATCTAAGAATGCCACTGTCGTCTCTTAGAGTTCTCTTGGCTCAGTTTGACCACATGTCGGTTGCATGAGAACTGAATGAATAACAGCTGTGGTAAAGGAGCTGCAGGTAGGCAGTTGTGAATGTTAAAGAAACACAGGGCCTACAGCACATTTTTCGGCGGGAGCCAACAGGAAAGTAGGGCACCAAAGATACTAACTTAGTGGGTAGCAGTCAAAACCAGCAGACTTTCTTTGGAGAGAAGACAAGTGGTAATTTTCAGAGTTACACACACAAGACCAGGATGTGGTGATTGTAGTCTCAGTAAATGACAGAGCTTAGAAACTTTTTTTTTTTTTTACTTAAAATGATTTAGAATTTTGTGTTTGAGCGTAAAGCGGTTATTAAAGAAAAACAGTAAAAATACTACGTCTAGCCTAGCATAGTAAAACGAGTAAGGACTTGAGAGCCAAATTGCTGTCTCTTTGTTTGCTCATGCTCTGAGGGAAGCTACATGTTCTCTTCAGTACTCACCAATGCTTCTGTTTTTGAGAAGAGCCTAGAATGGGATGCTCTGGAGGGATCAATAGAAGCTATAATTTTATGTGATAAATGTAGTAATTACTGTTATTACTAAATAAATACCTTTATTAACTGTTGTCTCAGTAAAAAGTGTTTTAAAATAAAGGTTTAAGCCTTACTAAGAATCTGGGTATAGTAACTCACACCTGTAATACCAGTTTGGGAAGGTTGAGGCAAGAGGATTGCTTCAAGTTTGAAGCTAGTGTGGGCGAGGTGAAGGTTATCTTAGGCCACAGAATAGGGTCCTATCTCAAGAGGAAAGGACATAGTGGATAACAATAAGCCATAGCAATTTCTTGAACTAGCAAAGTTTGTTTAATATCAGTTTAAATAGATTTGCAAAATTGCTGGTAAAGTTCAAGATGACTTTAAACTGAACACTTATCCCAAGATTCTGTTAAATTTAACTATCCTTTTTATTTTAAAGTACTGTGGTCAGGCCAGGGATAATGGCACACACCTGTAATCCCTTCTCCTAAGAGGTGGAGGCAGGATGATCAGATGTTGAAGTTCATCCTCAGCTGTGTGCCGATTCAGGGCCAGCCTGGCCTCCTTGAGACCTTGTCTCAAGTGAATGTGTGCTTTGAGCAGTAGAAAGAACTGTAATATCAGAAGAACTCCCTTGTAAAGCAGATCCATGCAGTGGTCTGGCCATCATTGCCTCCTGCACCTGCACTTCCTGAAAGTCTAGAATTTCATGCCTGACTGAAAGGGAGTGCTACGTGCAACTTCCTCCTCTCCCTACCTGTTCCAAAGACTGAGAAATCGGAGTTGATGATAATCACAGTGACTTGACTTTCAGTGTTCATCCCTGTTTTAGAGAGGAGAGATTGAATTTGAAGTAGTCTACGTGGCTCCTGAAGTGGATTCTGATGATGAAAATGTGGAGTATGAAGATGAGAGTGGACACCGCTACCGTTTGTATCTTGATGAGTTAGAAGGAGGTGGTAATCCTGGCGCTAGTTGCAAAGACAGTGGTGGTGAAATAAAAGTGTTACAAGGTAAAAAAAAAAATCATTCTAAATTTTATTATGGATGTGTTGATTATTCATAACAATTTTTTCTTTTGGTTTTTCGAGGCACGGTTTCTCTGTTTAGTCCTGGCTGTCCTGGAACTCAATCTGAAGACCAGGCTAGCCTGGAACTCAGAGATCTGTTATCCTCTGTCTTCCAAGTTCTGGGACTAAAGGCATGCGCCACCAACCCCCACCCCGCACTCCAGTTTATTTTTTGTTTATTTGTTTGTTTGTTTTTTTGAGTCAGAGTTTCTCTGTCACTCTCCCAGATTATTAATAATGTTTTAAATGTAAAAGCATCAGTGTTCTGCATTAACACAGTTAAGATGCAGAACAAAAGGAATAGTCTGTCTTGCAGTTTTATTATGTTCCACTATGCTTACACATTTTCTAGTTGATATTGGCTAAGATGCTTGAAAAATAAAGAAGATTCCAATTTTCTAGACTTTGAAACAAAACCCAACATCCCTTTCGAGTACGCACCTCTTAAGGTCATCTGTCTCAGTGTAGATTCTGCTCTCATAACACAAGGAGTTAGAGCTTAGGAACTGTGGACTGGTGGTTAAACTGATGCCTGTGATTATTGCCCAGGTCAGGATATAAGATCCTCAAGACTTTCAGTCTGGTACTTACAAAAGAAGTATGCTAGCACTTTCCATGGGTAGAGCATTGGTTTCCAATTATCATAGATAAATGTCTGGAAGTCCCTGGGACCTTTTGAAAGGCACACGGAGTGGGGGAGCATTTTCTAATAATATCAGGATAAAACATGTTTGTTTTGTTTTTTTAAGATAAAATTTATCTAAATTTTTTAGATAGAATTTATCTTTAGATAAAATTGACATTTAGGGATAAATCTACAAAAACTTTTTTAAAAAATTAAATGTTATTTCTTGCATATTGCTTGTTTTAGTTTGATTTTTGAGACAGGCTCCCACTGAGTATCCTGGGCTGGCTTTGAATGTGCAGTCCCCTGCCTTGGTCTCCAAGTGCTCATGTCACAGGCATGCAGCACAAGCAAGCCCAGCCCACTTGTTTATCCTTATTCTTTTTTAATGTTCTTTGACTAAGTCCCAGTGCCAGTTGTTTGTGTACAGTGCTTCTTAATATTCTATTTGAAGATGTACAAGTTCTCATATGTCACTGACCAAGCATAGTGAACAGAGCACATACATGTCACTGACCCAGCATATTGAACAGAGTGCATACATGTCACTGCCCAAACAGCACATATATGCCACTGACCAAACACGCTGAACAGAACACGTCTTTGTCCCTGACCCAGCATACTGAACAAAAGAGCTGGTCTTAACAAGTACTGTAGTAGTAAGTTTTTGGAAGAATGACTGACAGTTTATGATTCTTCAGTTAGATGGCCATTATCTTTGAATTTTACAGTCTGTTGCTTCAGAGTATTATTGCCAGAAATAAAATATGAGCTCCTAAGTGAAAATTAGTGTTTTATAGAACATGGCATCAATCCCCATGAGCTTGAGACTGGGTTCCTAAAGATAAGTTTGTAATGAGCTGAACGGACATATTAATTGATGTAATTCCTACATAAGGCAATAAAGTAATGAGCTTTTGAATTGCTTTCTTCAGCAATCCAGTGTTTTTCATATGACCTATATGAGATTTTACAAAGTTGTGTGTACAAGTTCACAGTACAAGATAGGCAAGAAAACTCTAGTGTAACTGTGTTGATAATGCCTCAAGTTCCACATATATGGCATATCACTAATAACTGAGCCAAATAATGAAAAGTACGTCTTTTTGGGGGTGGGGGTTGAGGTCTTCCTATGACTTCTAGCCTGGCCAGGGACTGATTGTGTAGGCCATGCAGTCCTTGAACATGGCTCTTCCTGCCTTAGCCTCCTCAGTGCTGAGATGACAGACATGTACTCTCATTCCTGACTAAAATATGTCTCTTGGTTAGCGTGTATACAGATCTTTCTTAGCTTACATAGTGGGTACTATAGTCAGTCAGTTTTACTTATAACCCCATTATCTTTCAGGTAAATTAATATCATCTTTCTTTCTTTCTTTCTTTCTTTATTTATTTATTTATTTATTTATTTATTTATTTATTTATTTATTTATTTATTTATTTATTTATTTATTTTGGTTTATTTCAAGACAGGGTTTTTCTGTGTAGCCTTGGCTGTCCTGGACTTGATTTGTAGAACTGGCTAGCTTCCAACTCACAGCAATCTGACTGCCTGTACCTGGGATTAAAGGAGTATGTCAACATGCGTGGCTTAGCTAGATATTATCTTGCCAGCAGATTAAATGTTTGGCAGTCAACTAACATGTAGTTCAATAAATTAGAAAACTGGAGAAATCTATTTCATAACTTTCAGGTAGCTTTAATAGTTAATACTTTAAAAATGTTGCTATCTGCTATAAGGTGAAAAAAAATCCCTTAAACTATTAATTTGATCAAGACAGTGTTAAGTTTGTCTTATATTGCTGATAGTAATTTCAGTGATTTTTTTTTTCAGTAAAATGATAAAAGTAAACATACTTTCAGCCAAATATACCTGTTTTTTCTTCTTTTCTTTTCTCACAGGGTATAATAAGAAGACAGTGAGTGATACACATGAGAATGGGGACATGGGGGCTTCTGGTGAAAGCCCTGTAGATGACAGTGCTGCCCGAGCAGCTGATCTGCACAGTCTGCATCATAAAAAGGCTTACTAATCCATCCCCAGACACACTGCTTGTCAGACTCTTTGGAATTTGGGGCACTAGGGAAGACAGTGGTAAAGACTGCACAAGATCAGGGAGGCTGTGTGTTGCCTAGAGAAGGGCGGGAACCTCAGGGCTTCGTGTGAACAATTCTAAGTGCATAAACCCCTGTTTTCTGTGGTATACCTTAATTAGTTATTGCATGGAAGGCAATTTTGATTTTCCTGGAATATAAGCACCAAAGCATGTGTTTCCCAAAAGGGTATTACTAGGCTCTTAAGGGCCAAGTGGATGCTGTTTCATTTGGTTCCTTTTCATATTTAACAGGACAGTGCTAACTGGAATTTTCTAAGTATCCTTTACATATAGCAGAGTAAATGATATCACATATTCCCTAAGGATAACTGTGGAATTTCAGAAGACAGAACTTGACTCAGTGAATTGTAGAAATCTAGGTTGACATTTTTGCTCAACTAAAAAATTTGGTTCCAGGTTTTTTAAAAAAGTGTATTGTAAATTCCTGATGTCAAAATTAATTCTTCATGATCATTTATTATGATGAGTTTGCTCTCCAGTTTATTCAACTGCAGTACAAAATAGTTTTCTTTAGGCAATCCTGTATCAATCAATGCTGCACTAGAAATAGTTTTGGGAAAGTTACTGTGCATTTTACTTTGGATTTTTAAAGGAAACGCAGATGAGTGTAAAATACCTGTTCTCAATTATGTTGCTCTGTGTGCATGATATTGGAGCATTACACTATGAATGTCTAGTCTCAAATGTTTATTTCTGGAATTCACGAAAGACGTTTTTATACATTTTGAGTTGTTCATAAGCTTTGTCTTGTGATAGTAAGGAAATATTACTATGTCATGAAATACATTGTGTTCAAACAGCAGTATGCTTTAAGTCCCTGACTTGCCAATCATTTAAAAAGCCAGGAGCCAAGGTGGGCAAGATGAGGTAAAGATATTTTGATACAGTGACCGTATTGGTTTTCACATCAGTTTGTTTGACTAAAGCAATATTTGTGTGCAAACTCTGTAAATGTGTTAGTTCTCTTGTATCAGAGCTAAGCACAGAGTGCCTCTTCCCCTCTTTCCTGATCTACAGACCATTGCAAAGTCAAAATACTATATTTAAAGAGGTGGTGATGATTTTTGCTAAGTCACTGTTTTAAAGGATTTACACCTAAGGGAGTAGTAAATGGGAGAAGCCTACATACAAGGCTTTAGAATAGCAGTATCTTCTTTCTTGGTATGTTTGTTTTTCCCAGATGCACTATATATTTGTTCAAAGTTAAATCTATAAAATGTATATACTTTATTTTGTGATTTTGCTATTTATAAATTCAGTTTTTAACTGTTGCGCATTTATGGTCCGTGGGTGGTTTCATTCTTAACAATATCACCATGTTAACTGGTAACTAGAAGTGCACTTGGTATATTGTTTCTGATGCTGAGCTAGATACTTTGTAGCGGAACATTGCCTGTAAACAAGGATAGTATTTCCATTGTACAAATGAATAAACAAGTTACTTATTATTGTTTGCCCCTGACAGGCTAGGCTTCTTAAAAGAAAGATTGTTTTTTCCTCAGTGTATTCCTCCCATGCCAAACACAAACTCCAATGCATGACTTGAGATCTTCGAAGTAGGTGGTGGCCAGTGTATTCATTTAGGTTAAGAGTATCCATGGTAACAGATCTGAAAACAGTTTTGCTTTGACCTGAAACCATGTTGTTCCTATAGTCTTTCAGCATTGCTTAGGAACGACTATGGCCCTTTTTTTTTTTTTTCTTTTCCTTTGCTTTCCAGAGAATATATGCCTTACTATGACTGAATTATTAGGAAATGTAAGCTGTAGCCCTTTGAATTTTTTCAAGATCTGCACAATAAATGAGTGAGAAGAGTTTTAGAAAATGGATGGGCATTTTTGTGTGCTTGGTCTGAGAGATTGGGTGAGATGGTTACAATATATACTTAGAAAGAGTAATTTATGGTTCTGCAGGTCAGTGTCCTTTACATCTCTGCTTCTTTCTGGTTTGGAAGCAAGTGAGAACACAGTGGCCTAAGTGCTGCTGTGAGCATCCTGGCACTTCCCAGGCCTAGCTGGGAGTTCATTTTAATGTGGGCTTTAGGGATGAACTGGGTATTTAAACTTTTCCCAAAGCACTCAGTGAAAAGTAGTTTTTATACTTCACATTCATGGGAAAGATGCCCGTATAACACTGAATCTTGAACAAAGCCAAAAAGTAGGGGGAAAGCTGTTATAACGCCATTACAATGAAAACATGAAAGAAAGGGGAAATTGTTCAGTAGAACCTGAGGTGTATATGCACTTAACGTACAAAATTGTCTTCTGTGGTTCTCTTTCTGAACATAATGGAAATGCCACATTTGGGCTAGGGATTATTGTTAAATTAAATTTAAGAGAGATGAAGAGCTTGTGAGCCTGTTGATTGGAATTGAACAATTATAAGTAACACAACCTGTCCATGGTGCTGGAATATTCCCCACAGCAGTGGGCTTACGTTGTTTTCATATTTTAAAACAAAATACATTGATTCACATGTAAGGTGATTTATGATAAATGTATTATATCTAGTTAAGTTGAGCTTCATATTCTTAATTAGCCTGTAAATAAATATGGCCTCTTCTACATTAAAGTGGTATTGATCAGACTTGAAGAAAAATAAATGTTTTCTCTTTCATTAACATTAAGTATTTTGGTTTACTGTGGGTCCTAAGTAGCTCCTCCAACTTATACCAACATGTCATGAAATATGCAAAAGGCTGAATCCAGATGCTGGGGTAGAATATTATGGGGTGGGAGGGAACTGTTTAGTCTTACCTGTTTCATCTGATTTGGTTGAAAATGAGGACAGCATTGATAGAAGTGTAAAACCAATACTAGTATTTGAAAGGAAATTCTTTCCTGGCAACATCTACGTATATCTAATTTACAGTTTTCCAAATTATATATTATTTTGGCAGACATTCAGACTGTCTTTCATTTTGAGCACTTAGAAATTTGTGCCTCCTGCCACCGGGCAGCTGTGGTTTAGTTCTCACATCTGTGAGCGTTTTGTGGGGACTGAAGCTCCTGCTTCTTAAGTTCTCTAAGGAAAAGTCTTTTCCAGAATTCCCCCTTAGGCTGTTTGTTGCTCACTTTGTGAGCTATAAAAAGGGACCAGCGTTTGTGTTGTTCATCAGTGTTATGGTTATCACATGATAGTGATATTTTGTTTGACAATAGATGTTTCTCAGGTTGTCTTGAGCCATGAGCACTCTTGCAGCACCCTTGAGAACACATCTCTGATATCTCCAGCAAGAGGACGTACAGCTGCCTTGCTCTGGGATTGTCTGTGTTCAGGCTGAAGTTGTATTTCTTCAGGTGGCTGAATGGCTGACCAGGACAGAGATCCTGTGAGTCATGGAGACTGGCAGGAAGACTCCACATTATAATTCAAGTCGCATTCACACATTCCTCCTCCAGTCATGCACTGGTCCATGGTCTGGTTGCCTCCCCCCGTTTTTCTTCACCAGCTAATAAACTTGTTGCACACAGAGCGCCTTTTTGCCTCAGTGTCTTGATTGGAACGTTGAGTAACACTTGCACGCCACGAGTGAAGAAATAGGTACTAGGTTGGGGATTACAAGCCACTCATCCAGGCTGGAGAGATGGCTCAGTGGCTTAGAGCACCAGCTTCTCCTCTAGATGGACCCGGGTTCAATTCCCAGCACCCACATGGCAGCTCACACCTGTCTGCAACTCCTCTTCCAGAGGATCTGATGCTCATACAGACATATGTACAATCAAAACACCGGTGTACATAAAATATGAATAAACAATTAGAGAGCTGCTCATCTCATGCCCTAAAAGTAATCAGGATGGCCTCTTAACTTGATACCTCCAGTGCTGACACTGGGCCATGGCTCAGTGGTTAAACTTTCAGAGATAGTATACAGAAGATTATTGGCATAGTAGGGCAACAGGATGTTTACTTCCATAGAGAGGACCACTTGTGTGCAGCTTCTGGTTAGTTTATAATCAGGTTTCAGGAAGATACCACCATCTTTTAACTAGTTGGAGGTTCACACACCTGAATTGTCTATACCAACATCAGGATTTGTGTCAGGCATTTGGAATTGTAGTACATGCTAGGCTATGAGTACCTACCGTCTAACCCTATAAAATGTGCTCTGAACAAATCTTTGAGAGCCCACACCCATACAATAGGGTGTGTCTGTCATCTGAGCTCATATCTTCTTACTTTTGTGCCTAAACCTGTATTAAAATATACTGATTAATCCTAACTCTGATCATAGGCTTGGGCCTGTTTCCTTGGTGAATAGACCTTTGTGTGTGGAATGGTGCAAGCCTGTTTAGTAGTGTTGGGAGATTAGACTGTGAATGTAGGCCTTTTCTCTACTGGTTTTTTGTTGTTCCCTACTATAATGAGCCTGATCCTGTGCTCGGCAGTGTGTCCCTTTTGCAAATAGATAACTTGAAGGGGTGTTCTTGGAAACTCCTCAGGGCTATAACTGGGAAAAGAGCCACAGAGAGAATTCTCTGGGACATTCAGCAGTTTGGGTATTAGGAAAACATGGCAATGACAGTGTCAGAACAGCAGAGACGGCTGGTGGGGAGGCTATGATCAAATTGCTAGTACCTCAATGGGAAAGCTAGTCCTGAGAGAGGGGAAAGAGTTCTGAGGAAGCCTCCCTTCCTATGGGGAGGAGACTGAAAGAGGGCATTCCGGTGAGTTTTTGCAGAACATCTAATCTTTAAAGCTAATGGGGAAACCTAGAACCTTGAAATACACGGAGATATTTTGGATGGGTGTTCCTGAGGATGGTGACTTCTGAATGGCTTGATCTTGCAAAAGCTCATGCTTCCTATTAAAAACTCTTGTAAAAGTAGCCCATCTTTGGGGGATGGAGACATGGCTCAGCGGTTAAGAGAACAGGGTTCAATTCCCAGCACCTATATGGCAGTTCACAGTGGTCTAAGTCCAGATTCATTCGATCCCACATCTCTGCACAGACATGCATGCAGGCAAAACACAAATGCACAAAATTTTTTTAAGTCAAAAAATACATAAAACAGTAGCCCACCCTTCCTTTTAAAACCTCGTACTTAGGGAAAATTCATACTTAGAGATTGCTGCTACCACCCCATATCCTGAGACAGTAGGAACCCCACTTACTCTGCTGCCTGACATATAACTAGGGTTAAGGTCCAGCAACGTTTAACTGAAGATACTCAGTGTAAGAGAATACTATACAACAAGAAGTGTTAGAATGAAGCTGGCATGGTGGCATGTTCCTGTAAGCCCATCACTTAGAAGGCAGCATCGAGCATAAGCTTTGCAATACATATAGTCCCAGGACAGCCCAGCCTATGCAGAATACGGCTCTGCTTCCCTGACACCCTACCCCAATGTCACAATTAGCATGTTCTGCCAAGAACCAATAGAGTGTTCTAAGGCTGAGATGAGAGGTTATGATCAAGGAATATAAAAAGGAACCCTAGCTGCAGGGAGGGAGGAAAAGAATGCTTATAAGGAGCATACTTAACCACAAGAATACAAAACTCAGGAGGGAAAAGGAAAGATATACTGGATATTATTTTGCTCTCCAAAAGCTGATATGTTAGTACAAAACAGATTAAGACAAAAAAAGCATTTGGGATAGAGGAGGTTTGTTTGTTTTACAGTTTACTACAAGATTTGGAATAATTCTAACCTTGTGGCTTAGTCTCTTTCTGTTGCCATGATAAAGACACCATGGCTAAGGCAGCTTAACAGAAGAGTTTATTTGGGGTTTTCATTTTCATTTAGAGTCCATGCCCATTATGGCTGAGAGCCTGGCAGAGAGCAGCAGGCACTTGAGCAGTAGCTCATAAACATGAAGCAGAGGGAGCTACCTGGGAATGAATGGGCTTTGGAAACCTCACAGCCCACTATCAGTTATGCACCTCCTCAGACAAGACAACACCTCATCCTCCCCAAACAGTTCCATCAGCTGGGGACTAAGTACTCAAATACATGAGCCTATTTAGGAGGACCGTTCTTACTCAAACCCCCACACCTTGTTTATACCCACTTAAAATATTCTTAAAATATATAAAGGGCGGGAAAAGATGTCCCAGTGGGTAAAAGCATTTGCCTCAAGTTTGATGACTTGAGTTTGATCTCTGGAAACCAAAGTGGAGGAAGATGAACTCCTGGAGGCTCTCCTCTGACCACCATGCAAAAGTCATGGTACACACACACATCTGGAACCCAGAGCAGAGGTAGACATTCACAAAAAAAAAAAAAAAAAAAAAAAAAAAAAAAAAAAAAAAAAAAAAAAATTAAAAGAAGGCAAGCACTAACATACACGGACACCACACACAAATATAATAACTAATAATATAATTAATAAAAATTGGTAGAACCCCAAGAACATTATAAAAATCTGTCATAGCAATCTCAACACATAATGTAAGAAATCATAATGTAAAGAAATCAAGATTTGAATAAGGGCTTGCTATAAACTTTAAGTGAAAGCTGTATTTTTATATTTTGTGAAATAAAGACCTGTATTTTCTAACTAGAAAGATGGATGAATGATCTGTAACAAGGAAGCTTGGTTAAATGTAAAACACAAACTGGTAAGTTTAGAAAGGTAGGTGCAATTTGAGAAAGTGCCAGTAGAGGGCAAGAGATCCCAAAAGCTGCGTTTGACCTACTAGACTAGAAGGCTTATTTGAGGAGCCTGAAACAACTAGACCCATTCTAAAATGAATACATTGAAGATTAGAGAAGTTACATTATTTGTTCAGGGTCACACCGTGTCAGTCATGATTCAGATCCCCCTCTTCATTCTCTAATAAGCCACGAAGAAACAAAAAGGAACTACAGGTGAGTTTAAAGTCCTTCAGTGGTTTTTTACATTATTTTCATTTTTCTTGAATGACACAAGAATTGATGGAGCCTAGGTTTAGAGCAGTTCTAATGTTTTTAATGTAAGGGGATGAGCCCCCATAAGCTCATATACTAAAATGCTTGGTTCTCAGTTGGAGGAGGTATGGCCTTGTTGAGGTTTCAAAAGCCCATGCCATCCTCAGTCTCTCTTTCTCTGCCTTCAACTTGTTGATAAGCTGTAAAGTCTCAGCGAGTGTTTCAGCACCGTGCCTGCCTGCCGCTGTACTCCATGTCATGATCATGGACTCACCATCTGAAACTTTAGGCAGGTCCCAATTAAATGTTTTCTTTGTATAAGTTGCCTTGCTCATGTCTCCTGACAGCCATAGAACAGTAACTGAGACAGTAACCTTTGCAGGAAAAGGGCACTATTTTCTACCCAGAGGAACTGGGTTTTTGATGTGTTATGTAATTAGCTAAGGATTTTTTTTTTTATTCCCTGTATGTGAGATGAAAATGTAGAACTAATGCCTTAATGCCTTATCCACTGTACCACCTACCTTCTTTTTTTTTTGGGGGGGGGGGGTTGAGACAGGGTTTCTCTGTGTAGACCAGGCTGGCCTTGAACTTAGAGCAATCGGTCTGCCTTTCCTCCCTGAGTACTAGGATCAAAGGTGTGTGCCACCGTGCCTGGCTCCACCTGCCCTTTTACTGGGGATTGCTTGGAACCAGGCTTTTCTTTGTCCACATCCCAGGAGCTAATCCATGAAATAAGTTTTGCAAAAGTGAGAGTTTAATTCAACATGCAACCACAAAACACAAGTAGTGGAGTACTGGGCTCATCTGTCTCCCTAAGCATTGGTATTAGATCATTTTTTTTAAATAATTTAAGTTTTATTGTATGTGTTCAGGTGTTTTGCCTGAATGTATGTCTGTGCATTACATGTATGCCTAGTGCTCGAGGAGGCCAGCAGGGGGCATCAGGTCTCCTAGAATTGGAGTCACAGACAATTATGAACACCTGGGAATTGAACCTGGGTCCTCTGGAAGAATAGCTAGTGTTCTTAATCCACTGAGCTCTCTCTCCAGCTCCATGGACTCAGAGGACTTACGGGATGAACAAAACAGGGTGTCTGGGCTGTGGGAAAACGTGATGAGATGAGCATGGATCAAGAAGTCAGTGCTCTCTTCCTGTGTAAACTCTACTGATGGCTCATTAGAGTCTCATTAGAGAGCCACACTAGGCTCTCTTCAAATCCCTGACGAAAAGCAGCTTTAAACAGTTATTACAAAAGGCAGGCACAGTGGTGAATGCTTATACTCCAGCAGATGGGACTCAGAGGCAGGAGGATTGTCTTAAGTTTGAGGACAGCCTATGCCACAGAGTGGTTCCAGGACTCCAAAGCTACACATGTCTCAAAAGAAATGCACAGTCAACCAGGCATGGTTGTTCAAGCCCAGTACCTGGAGGCTATGTCAGGAGAACTGCTGAGAGTTTAAGGCTAATCTGGGCTACGTAGTGAGTTTGAAACCCTGGACTATATAATAAGACCTTGCCTTGAAACAAGAAATGAAGGAAACAAATAAAACCCGCTGTCTTGTTTAGATTTACTATTGCTGTGATGAAACACCATGACCAAAAGCAAGTTGGGAAGGAAA